GTGGCCATCAGAAGAGCAGTCTGTAGAGCATTCAGGGCTGCTCAAGGACAAAAGAACTCAAAGCACCCCCCCCCCAGGTTACCCTCTTGTTTCTACTTGTCTTAGATGATGCCAGTTTGAAAGGACAAAGAGGAATATAAGGGAATCTCCCTCAAGATCTTCAGCTGGGTCTAGTTCATGAAGGGAATGGTCTGAGAAGTGAAATGCTTAACTCTGAGTTTCCATCACCCATGAGCTTAATGCAAACTTGACGTCAGAACCCAACAAGGAGAAGCAGCTCAGATGGTAAGCCAACAGACCCCACTACCTAAGCACAATACCACTGGTGTTTCCAAGTAGGTGGAGGCAGTCAGTTATAGCCATTTACCTTGCTTAATCCTCTTCCTGACTGAGTTACTTTCTTTCAGCCCAGATGGCGAAGGCATTTTATTTTCTCTTGAAGTCTTCCCAGATGAACTACACCCAACACCAATCACTTTTTGTTTTAAGAACACAGTTGTAGCTGGGTGTGGTGGCCCATGCTTATAATCCAGCTCTTTGGGAAGATAAGGTATGAGGATTTGGTCTGACAGGTAGTCTAACAACATAACAGATACCTGGCACCAGGTTCTCAAAGACATGTGTTTATCTTAGCAAAGCTTGACTGTTTTTCCCTCCCAACACATAAGTATTAAACAGGAAGTCTCCAGCAAGAGTTAGGACCCAGCACTAAGTAGTGCAAAAGAAAAGTGGCCAAATACAATGACTAAGAAAGGCAAGGGGTTATATCCAGGGAGCAATTTGATGAAAAAAGGATCAGATACAACAAATCTGACAGAGAGAGAAGGGGTCCACTACAAGAATGTGCTAGCTTTCTCCATTTTTATGAGGGTGTCAGACATCATTAATCAATCACAGTGACATCAGAGAAATCCCAAATTTCTAAACACAACAGTCCATATATCCATTCTCAACATTTGATGCTGGCACATAAGTTAGGGCCTCTGAGGTAGCTGAGCCTCAAGAATAGTGACTCTAGTGAACAGAAGTGATGACTTCGCTTCTAGTTTGGTGACTAAGTATAGGAAGCACTAAGTGTGTTGGCAGGATTTCATCCCAGGACTAAGTTCTTGATGATAAAAAAAAAAATGGTACTGGTCTTCACATTCTAAGGAAGACCGCTATATTATTTGAACTTACATATCATGATCATATGGCAGCTAGATTTACCTGACAAATATTAAGCTTAAAAAACTACACCATCATACAACCCTTTCCAAATCAAGATCTTGACCCAAACACCTACTTGACAAGTGCTGCTTTTGTAATAGTTCCTCAGGAAGGTAAGCATAGTTACCTTATGGCCTGGAAATTCCACTCCTAGTATGTGCTCCAGAGAATTGAAAACATTCACACAAAAACTTTTTACCGAATGTTCACGGAGGCATTATTCTTCATACCCCCAAAGTGAAAATTCATAAAATGTCCATCAACTGATGACCAGATAAACAAAATATGTTACATCCATATAATGAAATATTATTTATAGCCATAAAAAGAAAAAAGTTCGGATACACAATACAATAAAAATCAACTTTGAAAACATTTGTTAGGCAAATGAAGCCACACATGTTGTAACTATTTATATATCTAGAATAGTCAAAACCACAGACACAGAAAGTAGGTTAAGGGTTTTAAGGTCCAAAGGAAGAAGATGGAGAGTGATTGGAAATAGTACAGGGAATTTTTGGGGAGGGAACAATGGAAATAATATGGAATTAGATAGTGATGATGGTTGCTTAATCTTGTAAATACACTAAAAACCAACTAACTGGATATTTTTAAGTGGGGACTTTTCTGTTGCAAAAAATTTTCTGTGAATTATATCTCAAAATGTTTTTTAAAATAAAAAAAGTCCACTCTCACCACTTCTGTTTCATATTACACTAGAGGTCCTAATCTAAGTGATATGAAAAAAAATAAAAACTACAAAGATTTGAAGGGAAGAAATGAGCCTCTGGTTCATAGATATTATGATGCCAACTCAAGAAATCCACATTACTAAATAAATAAAAGGTCAGGATGTTGCATACAAACAATTGACTTTTGTATTTTGATATCAGCAAGAAATTTTAAAAAGGCAATTCTAAATATAGGAGGCCTTGCTATAGTGTACATTTAGAATGTCTCCTGAAGGCCCATGTGTTAAAGGCGTGGTCCCCAGGTTGGTGGAGGGATGGAAACTGTAAGAAGCAAGGCCCACTGGGAGATCTATGGGTGAGTGAGGCTGTGCCTTCAAAGGGAAGTGTCAGACTCTGGTCTCTCCTCCTGCTTCCTGGCCGGTGCTTAGTTCCGTTTCACCACACACTGCCGCCATGTGGTGCTGACTTGCCATAGGCCCAAAAGCATCAGGGCCAATTGATCATGGACAGAAGCCTCCAAAACTGTGAGCTGAAATAAACCTTTCTTTTTATAAGTTGATTATCTCAGGCCTTTGTTACAGTAACAGAAAGCTGACCAACAAAGTCCCGAACTTATGATGGTTCCAGTGACAATTTCTGACTTTAGGATAGTGAGAAAGTACTATGCATTCAGTAGACAGTGGACATCCAATTTTGGATTTTTATCTTTGCAAAGTTAGCAATATAAGGTGTACTGTTTTCTTGAGATGTCAGGTTCTGGTAGCAAACTGCAGTTCTCCATCAGCTGTGCAATCACGAAGGTAAACAATTATACTCTACAGTGTATTATGTTGCTAAGATGGGATGTTCAGCAGGTGTATTAATTGCATTTTCAACTTATGATATTTTCAACTGATAGTGACTTTACCAGTATGTAACCCTACCATAGATCAAGGAGAATCTGTACATGATTTACAGGATTCACAAAAATACTTGGTGATAAAGTTAACAGAAGAAATGGAAGATTCTTAAGTAGAAAATAATTAAACATTAAAGAAGAACAAAATCCAAGATAAATATGCTACAGCATATCCATACAATGGAGAATTATTTAGCCATAAAAAGAAATGATGTACTGATATATTTTACTACATGGATGAACCTTGGAAACATTATGCTAAGTGAAAGAAACCAGACACGAAAGACCACATATTATATGATCCTGATTATATGCAATGTCTAGAACAGACAAATCCATAAAGACTGAAAATAAATTAGTGGTTATCAGGTGCTGGGAGGAGGAAGGAATGGGGAGTGACTGCTAATGGATTCAGGGTTTCTTGCCGGGGTGATAAAAATGTTCTAAAATTAGGCAGTGGTAATGGTTGCAAAATGCTATGAATATAAGAAATAGTACACTTGAAAAAAAAACTGAATAAGGATAAATACCATATTTATGGATGGAAAGAGATTTGATCTTCCCAGTGTGATCCATAGATAAAATGTAATTCCAATTGTAACCTCAATAGTACTTTACACGAAAGATCAAAGAGCCAGGGAAAGTCAAGTCACTTGAAAATAAAGTAGAAGAATTTATTCTAACACATATAAAAACTTGTTACATGTAGTTAAGAATAATTATGATTGCAATTAAGAGTATTTTGTAACAAAAAGTGTATGGTTTGGATTCAGCAATAGGAAACAGACCAGTGAAATAGAGGAGTCACAAACAGATCCACTTAACAGATGGAAACCACAGGTACCACAGAGAAAGCCCCACCATTCAGCAATGAAGGGAAGAACCATCTAAAACATGTCACAGAGATAACAATTATAATAATAATGTACAGGTAAGGGGCAGGTCAGTGGGGTGAGGTAGACATCCCCAAAACAAAGCCACAGGTTTTGAGTCATTTTAACCAAGTCATGTAAATATTCATGGATCCTCTAGAACAAAAAGGGTAGAACAGAGAGCATGAGTCCCAGGATGATAGAAGATGGTCCTATAATACAGACATGGTTTATCAGGAGGTAGATTTTGGAATCTAGCAACTATGATTAGATGGTTACCTCTATGGAAAAGTGTTTCCACATATTCACTCATTTCCTCAATGACTCTTTTGAAGAGTAGCAGAATATTCACCACAAAATATGCCACTCTGGCATTTTGATTATTTGGACCCAAAGGCAACAACAGGCAAAGGAAAGGTCTCTGCCCTCCTTCTATTTGCTAACAGCAGGACCTACGTTTGTAAAGGCGTTCCCCCTCTCCTCTCCATGAGGAAGGACAGAAGCCAATCCATTAAGGTCAACCCTTATCAGCCTAGAGGTGGTCCTCAAAGGATCTATCTAACAAATTTTACCAAGTATCTCTAGCCTCCATTAGTTCCCCATGTATTTACCTTTCCATCATTTGATATCCTAGAAAATTCAAAGCCTTTTTTCTTTGTATTGTCATTTCTCTAAAAATTTAATATTCTTTTTTAGGATGTGCCATAGACCCAAGTTGTAGTCATCCTTTTTAAATTACTCATCATTGAGCACTCCCAGGTACAACATCATATGCACGTTAATGAACTTCTCTTTGTTTTTCTGCTTTTGTCAATCTGATCTATAGGGCTCCAGCCAATTAACCATGGATGGGGAGATGGAAATAGAACTTTTCCCTCCCTTCACAATAAGAGATACCTATTGAAATATCCATTGTAATTCTGGTTCATGCTAGGCAATGATCTATAGGCTAAATGCTAGGACCTACATTTTGGTAGTTAAACAGACAAGAAAATACATGAATAAATAAAACTACTTCCAAGAGGGGCAAATCAAGCCAGGTGACGCAGGGGCAATGATTCTGCATGGGGGAGAGCAGTCATTGTGGGCTTAGGCAAATTGCTTTAGCAACTGTGGTCAGGGAAGACCTTTCTGAACAGGTGACAATCACAAGCCCTGCATCTTTTTCAAAGCTGAAAGAGGCATAACTAAAAAGTTAGCACCACAAAATGTTTAAGAGCAAAATAAATAAATAAATAAGAGTTTGGTGGCAGGGTATAAAAGTCAAGTGCTTGCAATAAAGATCTTCAAACTACAGGAAATAAAAACATAAAGGTAGGAGATGCTCACTGGGACCCCATCTTTGAAGCCATCATTCCTGCTTGTGCTGGCGAGGTCTGGAAGCCCTGGCTGGCTGTCCATAGATGCACAACGGTCACTGAACCGGCTGTCTGGATGGGATTTAAAGGAGCACCTCTATTAATTATCTGAGTGCTGGCATCACTCCCCTAAATTCACAGCTAAATAAAGCTGCCCCAGTTGCTTGGCCACAAGCTCTTGAAGGTTAGAACAAAACTGTGTCTCGGATCCAGCGTTTGGCGTTGATCTAAGAGCTTTAACGTCACTTCCCAGTTAATAATTAGCTCTGCCTTGGTCCTCACAAAGGATGCCACCAAAACAAAAGCAGACGCCAAGTGTGTTCACTATACTTGCCACTGGAATAAATAGGCAAAGGGATGATTAATGAATGAGGGGGGGAATTAGACACAACAGTGAGCAAAGACAAAGGCCTACAGCTCGGCTACCCTTGAACCGAGACAAGATGTATCCAGAGAGAGGTGGCAGAAAGCGATGCACCAAAAAAAACAAAAAAGTTGGTTTAATGGACAGGTTGTGAAGACTTCATTTAACCTTGTGTTATGACAGCCATAGTGTTTTATTAACATTCTGACTTACTAAGGGGCCAGGGTCAGCTGAGGCAGAAACACATGTTCTTGGGGGAGTTGCCCAGCAAGGGAGGAGAAGGGGACATTTTTGTGTGGTAACAGAGGCCGCCCAAACACATGGGACAACACTCTCAAGGCCCCCTTGCTGAGGCGGGGCCGCAACTTTCTAAAGAATTGTTTGTATGTCAAACAAAGCACATGAGATACCAACACAAATGTCCCAGCTGAAGCCATTTGACAGGGCCTGTCTGTGCCTCCAAATGGCCACATTATAGACTGGGCCAGGACGCAGGGCTCTGTGATAGAGAACTTTACCCAAAGGCATCTGCCATCAAGGGTGGAGAGCTGAGGGCCTTTCCATAGTGATCTGCAGGCTCAGGATCCTGGGTTCATTGTTGGTTGGCAGCCTTTGTACACTTTCTCCTCCAGTCAGTAATAAGAGCAAACTTTCCCCCAAGGATACAGCAGGAGCTCTGGGTATCTGGCTAGCTGGGCTTCAAGGAGCTGGATAGACACAAGCCAGCAGGGAGCAGCAACCGGCCAAACTCCAGGAGCCCTTCTGGCTTGTGGACACATCCCCCACCTTGCTCTTTACAGCTGTCTTCTCTCCCCCAGGGCTTTCCCCATCCACCAGGTGCCCATTCCCACAGGGCCAGTTTCCAGCCAGGTCTCTGATGGGAAAAGATCTGATAAATTAATCCCCATGGAAGATTGAGGTGATGATGAGGTTAGAGGTTCTTCCCAACCTCCAGGGATATTTGCATTTTAAAGGAAGATTCTGAAAGACCAGAAGGTCTCCAGGAACCAGCAATGAAATGTACCTGGAGAGTTTTAGGCTCTCAGGCAGGCTAGGGGAAGATAATTATGGACTCCATAAACCTCTTATTCTCCCCACAATTCTACCCTGCAGATTCCTGCCAAAATTCATAGGCTTTTATTTCATCTTTTCTTCATCTATATTACCAAGTATTGGAAATATCACATGAGGAAATAATGGATGCCCTATGTCTTCAATACCTGAGTTAATGTGATAGTCACAACTTACCGAATGATAAAAACAGACCAGAATATATCTTTATTGATCAAAACTTTTAATTAGTATATAAGGAATTAGAAACACTGAAAAATACATGTTTCCAAGGGAATCAAAGAAAGAATTACTAAAAGAGCCAGGACTAGGACTGACTGGTTCAACCCAGGGTTTGTACCTTCTAGGCAAGCTCTCCACCACTGAGTAACAACCCAGTCCAAAGTCAAGGGTTTTTCTATTTCATTGTAAGAATAACTTTTCTTCTGTCCTCAGAGTGTACCTTAATAATTTGTTAACTGAGAAATTGCAGATGATGTACTTTTAACTTGTATTTTATAGCTTTAAAATGATTTGTCAATTTGTTAGTGCAAAAGACATATATAATTCTAGTTCTGAAAAAAGTCCCTTGAATGGAAATTCAAGTCAAGATGCTAGGGAACACCACTTTAGAGCCTCCCACTTACTTGTTAAAAGATATGTCCAACAATAAAAAGTGTTGGAGAAGATGTATAACCACAGAATTTTTCCTCTTTCCTGGTAGGAGTATTGAACTGGGATAACTCTTTAGGAAATAGGCATTTTATACCAAAGTTAAAGGTGGAAATAGTCAAAGACCTAGAAACTCTATTCCCACAGAAATTCTAACTCATAGCCCTGTTCGAAATAAACAACAGCCTAGGAATTAACACCATACCCAATTTCTGGAAACTTAACTGTGGCAGGTTAATATAACAGAGTATTACACAGCGTCAAAAATAAGGTAAGAATTTAGGGATACCGAAAGAACACAGAATCTCAAAAGGGAAATGCCCATAAACCATTACATTGAAGCACAAATGACCTGTGAGCAACCCAGCCCATGTCCTGGTGCCCACAGCTTGCTCATTGGCTGATAAAAAACAAAAGCAACAAAACTGCAAGATAACCAGTAGGCACCTAGAGGAACTCCCTTTAGGGAGAATGGCCATTAAAAAGACTGTGATGACTAAGAAATGATCCAGCCTTATTATAATAGTAAGACCCACCCTCCTGGGTGGAGATTTAAGAGGCTAATGAGACATGTCAGATGGGAGGTAATATGATTAGAACATGTGAAGACAATGCTTAAGTGCAAGGGAAACTGGAATGAAATGGCATGATCCACCCCGATTCTACCTCTAGTTCAGTCCCAGACCAAGATGAAGTCACCCACTCTCTCCAAGTTCCCCCACCCTCCCCGTCTAGAGTGTGCATCTTCTCTGTTCCAATAAATCTGGTCTGCTACTCATATGTGACACAGCCTTAAATTCTCTTCTATGATATGACCAAGAACCCAGCAATGCAAAGCAGCAATCTTCTCCTTGGAACCACATACAGAAACAGAAATGAATGACTTGAAGTTGTGTCAGTGTAGGTGAAGTCTAGTAACATGACATTGAGTGAAAACAGCAACCCCTAAGAGGAAACATCCAGCATGACATCCTTTCTTTTTATAAAAATTTAAAATAGACAAAACTAAGCAACATATTATCCAGACATATAAACATGTTCTAAAATCTTTTAAAATTTGGAATGGCATGTTAAACACAAACTCAAAGTAATGATTCTACAGAGGAGGAACACATTGAAAAACAAGCGATGATCTATATACTAGTTCTTGGGATGGCTCATTTGTTGCACTATTAACGATATATTAATATTAAATAACATGCATATATTAAACAAAAAAGGCTGTCCAGTAACCAATTGATGACAGTGTGACATAAACCAAGAATTATGATTAATTCAATTTCATGCACCTGAAACCGACTGAAAGTGAAAGTGAAAAGTAAACTTGCTCAATGAAAGAATAGAATCGAGGCACAAAGGTCACACACAGGTGCACTAGTGGTTCACACAGGAGATTCAGCACAAATTAGAACAGACACAAAAGCTCTGGGCAAAGCACTAGGTTAAAACAAGACCAAAAAGAATTAGGTGACAGATGTGTACAATCAGGTTGATGACCAAAAGAACAAAAAACCAAAAGGCAGGTTAAACTCTGATCTGCAAATCTAAGGAATTATGTATTGGGTCTGAGGGACAAAGGGGCTCATAAGCTGAATGTAGGTCCAGTATCAGAGATTTGTGACAAGACCATAATCTCCAATCCAGGTCACCTTTCTAATTTAATAAAGTCTCATTAATTTGAACAAATCTAATTTGGAATGGCTGGAATAATCAGGCTGAAATGAAACTGATCTTTCAACTATAAAAAGAGTGTTTACTCAGCAAATTAATAGCAGGAGACACATCAGGTGGGGAATACTTAACCTATTTAGGAATACAGACTCGACATAAATATCTACATTCATTTGTTCTACAACAATCTGTATGTTAATTACAGATGATCTTTGGTCATTAAAAGAGGTCCTCAACCTGGAGGTACTATAATAGGTGCCAGTATATATTACTAGGCATATTTCAAAGTAGTAAAACTAGGCTTTGAAAATGATCTTTTCAGTAATCTGTTGCAGCCCAAAGGAGGTAGGGAAGAAAAAATAATTTTGAATCCAGCCTTCATAGTTTTGAGTTGGTATGGATCCCTGTTACAAAAGATTAAAAAGGAAAAATCGACAAAAGTGTATTAATCGGCATGCCTCTTGTATGCATGGAAGACAGCCAGTGAAAGAGCTTTGAGTTCAGCCTTAAATTCCTTCTTCAAATGAAACCCCAAAAAGGGTGTTTGGGGAAGGGGAATAAGCAATGAAGAGTTCTGCAGGCAAGGTTTATTCTGAGCAGTTAAACTGGGGTTCTTAATACGGATAAATCTCCAGTGAGTTAGAGCCCTGTTTCTCTTTCTGGTACCCAGAGGAGATACCCTAGCAAATGGAGATTTCCTTTATAGATGTAAATTTCCTTTGCAAACAGTAACTTCTACTGTTTCCATAGCTTCTCCTGTGGCCACAATCTTTCAAAATAATCAGTTTAAAATAACCCTTAAGCTAAGGAGGCATGTATTAGGGTGTAACAGTCTGGTCTCCTACAGGTGGATTGGTTCATACTGGGACAGACCTTATACCCAAACCATGAGGAGAATCCCTTGTTTTCTGAAAGATGACACAAAAGAAAATTCATTGCAATCATCCCCCTTTCCAAACAACACTTGAACTGGAAGGAGCCTCCATCCCCCGAGAGGCATTGTCCCTCCTCAACACCATCTACAGAGCAATTTAAAAGCCTGTCACTTCTCCAGGACCCAATGTGGTCTAAGAAAACTAGTCACCTGCTTGTTTGTCTTAATAGCTGTGCGAATGATAACACTTGTACTTTTAGTGACATGACAGTCAGGTCTCCTTGGGTTCCCTAGGTTCATCTACTTCTCTGTGCTAAGAAAAATGAAGACGCCCATCATGTTTTGGAAGTAGAGATATGGAAACAGAAACAGATGAGAAGGAAACTTAAAAAAAAAAAAAAAAAAAAAACAGAAGAGAAAGGGCAAAGAGGATACAGAGTT